ATTGTTTCACGTGACTGAATTATAAGATCGGAAATTTGGCCACAAAACAAAAAAGTGGTGGCTTTAGACTGCGTGCACCATAGTAATAGTCTCAAATGCTGGGAGGTCAAAATTCAATCCAAATAGTAACGGTGAAAGCATAGATAGTGATTTCGAATATTAATGTCATGCCTCGTAGAGGCGCCTGAAGGCCTGACCAATTCAACTCGATATTCACTATTTTTTCGGATACGTTACGCATTATCAATCTCAATAAACTGTCTTTACACATCGCTGGCTATGCATGTTTCACGAGACTCATTTCCCTGAAATACTTCTATGCTGATCTCTGATTCGCAGATTAAAAACACATGACATCGCCCCCCAGGCCCATTATAACGTGATGCAATTTCGTGGTTATAATTAATTGTTCTTTTTTACTTTGCGACATCGCACGCTCTTATATATATGTGTATCTTCTGATCCCGAAGTAGATGAAGTGCTTGATTCAGAAGTATCAGAGTTAGTATCTGATTCCGATTCTATGATGGAATACTTGACCTTATTTTTCTTGCTTTTATTTTGCTGTAAGCGAGAATCCGAAGAACCCGACTGATTATTGCGTAGCAATGAAGTTTCGCTTCTATCAAACTTATACACAGGTACTACTATGGATTTTCCTTTCCTTCCGGCAAGATTTTTGATACGAAGAGTTGTTCTTGCCCAACCATCCTCTGCGTCAGTTACAATTTCTGCTCTATATGTCTGGAGCTCTTCATCATCATATTTTCGACCGGTGAATTAATCAAACCCTAACATGATATAATTGGGAAATTCGGGATGATGTTTTACGATTAATACCTGGGTTGGAATTGTAATAGATGTATATTGTTTGCTAAATCGACTACATTCTACACTTGAAGTAAAAGTAAGTGGAATCACGTTCCATCCAATCGGATGTGTAGTCATCTCCCTGAAAAATCTACTATCTTTATCTTCAGAACTTATTCGTCTAGTGATTTTCCCACCAATGTGCTTGAGAATTTTATCGCTACACATAGCTGGCCCCAAAAATCCCGGTTCGAGACAGCAGTTGACTTCTTGATCTCTAAATTTAGCTTTGGCTATTTTCATGGTAAGTTATGTTATGTGTTATATATTCGATTGAAAAAATAACCAATAATTTAGATTCAAACTTGGCCACATCTATGGAGCGTGTGAATCGTATTTTTCAGATTCCTTTTAATAATTTCGCAGTTACGATGTGGTTATAATTATTTTCAGATTGAATTTGCTATATTCACTTAATTTATAAATTTATGCGCTATTTTCTGCATTAAATATATTTGACTAGTCAAGATATTTTATTATAGCAAATATGGTAAGTAGTACTAATAATAAATCCAATAAAAGCGAAACATTTGCTCCTTTATAGTGCTTTTATATAAGAATAGCAATTCAGAAAAAACTTGGTATTAATAGTAATACGTTAAAGAAAATAAAACACAAGCCGGATGGAAAAACACTCGCTGATTCATATAAGTTGCTATTACATTTGGTGGGAGATTTAATACTGATACAGAAAAATCTCGACATTGATGGCAACCCCATTCTGGCAGTGGAATATAATAATGTGGCAAATCAAAACAATAGAGATTCTTCCAATTTATCACTTTCGAAATTATTTAATTTGCTTTTATACTTGGAAGAGGATATAAACACAATTCAGGAAGAACTTGGTATTGTTGGTTATACTAATCAAGAAATGGCGGAAGAAGCTGATAAAAATGCAGAGTATACCTCCGAAAGTTTGAGAAATTCCACGGTCCTTTAGAAGATGATCCAGGTGTACTAATAAAGAAATTCGTTGATAGAGAGGTAAAGAAATTTTGGTTTACTGGTGAGGGACTACCATTGTTTCCGAATGTCACTCTTCAACAATTACATGAGGTTTTCGTCAAAAAATCAGCTAACATCGATCAGTGTCCATGTCTAAAATCAAAAGTAAAACAAGAAAAATTATCACAGATTATATACATCACGGCAAATAAAAATTCTTTGTTTGAAATTAGCTGGGGGCTGTCGAATACACGATTACTCGCTCTATAGCCAGAATAATGCGCTTCCTGCGATATTATTTAATGGTGTATAATATAACCGAGAAAATAACTCGGTAAACAATTACCATTCTCCGCTACTAAATATAATTATTTGTAACCCATGATGGGTAACTAGAAATATTCACACCAGTCTCTCTTATATAATTATTGATTGCAGAAATTAAATCTGTTCTAGCTAATGATGGAGCTTATTCGCATTTTGATAATATCGATCTTTGGCTTGCTTCATAAATGATCCGCCTGGTCGTAGAGCCACTCAATTACTGCATGCTGGATTATTTTAGCGGAATTAATTTGTTTTCTCCATAACGATATGTCTGCTGAATAATTAATGACGCACGATTTTTTTTATATAATGCTAGTTGAACTTTAAAATCCCTATAATTAGGGTCATTACCTATTTGCTTATAGCTTGTCAAATTATTTTTGATACAAAATACAAAATTTTCCCAATAATCTCTACTATTTATTTCATATCCTAGTTTTAATAACCGTTTGCGTACGTATTTTGGTGGATAATATTTTGCAAACCGTAACCATGCTTCTGACGTTTTAATATTGTTAACGATATAATTTACACCATATTCACTTAACCTATCTCGCACTCTGCTATAACTCATTATATATTTGCTACTTATTTCAGATGTATCTAATATAGTTTTAACTTTTGTTAATTTCGCAAGATAAAGTTCTCTTCGTGATGCTTTATTATAACAATATATTTAATTTTGCATTTTTAAATTCGTATTAATAAATAATAATATTCGCATTTACAATGACTGAAGCTAATAGCAATATTGGGCCGGTTCATCAGAATTTACAAGAGAATGATGATAAAATCGCATCGCTAATGGAGTCAGTGAAAAATTATCAATATTGATCAATGGTAGGGATACAGAAGTATTTTGTGATTCGGGTTCAGAATGTTCAATTATACCTTATGAGATTGCGAAAAAATTGGGTTTCGTAAAAGATAAAGGTTTACCCAATAGCGAAGCTAGTGCCAAGGCACATATTACCGATAAAGTGGTATCTGAGTCCGACTCTGGATCTGAATCTGATAATGATAAAATGATATGCATATACACGCCGTGAGAGTAAAGAAGCATAATTAGTTATCATCATCAGAAATTTCTCCATACAAATCGATGATATCTTCGACTTCACTATTTTCTTGTTTAGGTGCTGGAATAACTGGCCTATCGTTCATTACACCATAATGTTCAACCGATAAAGCACGACCTATTTTATGCCTGCATGCCAATTGTCGTAAATATTGACGACCGGAATCATTCCTACCTCCATGTACTCTGGAAGCATGATCAGCTCCTATTTTTCTTAATATAAATGAGGTAATTCTATGGCAACTTAGGAATTGATTAAGAGGTGCAACATTAGTATTTCCATCCTTATCTTTTAACAAGAAGGAAAATTTATCCGGTATTGATCTCTGAATCCAGATAAGTAATTCTCTTGCTCGCATTGGATTTTTTTCCATTGAAAGAAATGGTCGGGGTTCTTCTACTTCACCTTTATTTTTTATATTTTTGGCTTTCCTGAATGTCTAGGCAATTTAAATATCTCATCTGAGGTAATCGTTTCTTTATTATATTCCGGCTCTTCGATATACATTTTTGTCTAGTACTGGTGTGGTATATAGTCTCAATATATGTTCGATTATATTATTACAAAATAATTTGGAAAAGTTTAAATTGATTTTTATACTGTACATGAAAATGCGAGTAAAAAATATGTTAGCAAATATATAGGGTTTTATATTAAATATATTTGCATAAAAAGTGAAATGGGTTTTACACGTTATATATTAAAACGCTTGAATGGGGTGTTCAGCCGATCAATACGTTAAAAAAGATAGTTCGGGGCGTTCAACCTGTCCATATGTTAAAAGAGATGGTTCGATTTGTGGAAAAAGTTGTTGGCGGGACACAAGAAGTTCGTTGCACCGGAAATTATATGATACGAATATAGCAAAATTTCCTTGTGGGATCTGTGGAAAACTAACAATTTCTGGGACGGGATATTGTCCTAAACACGCGAAGAGGGTTTATTTTCGAAATTAGTATGAGAAACAAAAGGCACAGAGAATAGAAGCGGATGAATAATTGTATAGATCCTGATTTTATGCGTCACAAAAACTAGTCTATTGGTATAAAGATTAGAGTTTGCGTAATATTTTTTATCTGAAAATTTTATATTAACTAGTTTGTAGGGCGAGGCCCATTGCTTTGCAATAGGAGCCAAAAATCTCCCTATATCTAAGCTCCTACCTACAGAACTCACCTTATTCGCTCCTCATCGACTATGCAATTACCATAACATACCATTTTCCTGGAGTATGCTAACAGTTTTTTTCCAGTCCTCGTCAGTATCCAGCCATGATGAGATGATTCCATCTTCCTCGAGAGAACGGCGGATTATTTCTTCACTTATTAATCTTTCTCGCACTGTCATGTCCATATATTCACTGGGATCTTCTTCAGCCTCCTTTGCATAACCACACATTCTCGCATCAGTCTGCATTCTATCACGGAATGCTATGGAATCGAGCTTATCTTTTTCAGTTATAGTAACGAATTTATCGGGATCCTCGCCAAGCTCAATAGCTTTTTGACGGAGACGGGCTTCTCGTTGCTCCCGGGTTAAATAGCCAGATGGATATGTTTCCAATTGGGTGTTGACTTCTTCATTGCTAGATTTTAGTTCGTCATTCGCAGGTAAGTCGGGAGATATCTCGGGCTCATTATTTACAGATCCAGCTTCATCACTCACTAATTCGATAATTTCCAGAGATTTGGATTTATTGTCTACAACTTCTACGTCCACGATCTTGGGAGGCAGAGATATATCGATAGACTTGGATGACGAAGCAACTGGAGATTCTGATTGATCTGTTATAGAATCGAAGAGGTCTTGGGTCATTTTAGTAATAGGTGGGGCGGATACTATTTCCTTACCTTTTTTGATATGATCGGTGGTCGATGACTCGGCTATCTTTTTTTCTGATTCGGATGTAACAATTTCAGGTACGTCGAATACAGGGATATCTGTGGATGTGTTGGCGGGTATCTCAGTTTGAGGTGTGTCTGAAAATTCTTCAACATCGATACCCTTTTCACGTAGTTTGCTTACGATTTTAGATCGATCGAGAATGTATTGATATACTCTTACTCCACCATCGCGTGAACGTGTACGATCAATACCTATTTGCGAGATTTTTTTTCCAAGAACATTGCTAGTGGATGGTTTTTCTCCATTACTTCCACACCAAGTGAGACAATCTTGATATAAAGTAACACAGCTTGGTTTATCAATCTGATTCTTGTATTAGGATGTTCTAGAATTTTTCCAAGTTGCTTAAAATATCCCATATTACCCTTGCATCTAGAAGACACATCTAAGCATACTATACACCCGTCTCCCATTTCAACACGAAGTGGAGCATCATGATTACTAAGAACCATATATCCAGCGAAATCCTTGATTGTTTTTGGTTCGATCCCCTTACGCTCTATAGTTATAAGGTTCAGTAATGAGAGATTTTAAGTGGTCATTAGCCTTTTGCCATTCTCCCGATACCATCCCTGTTTCATTTAAAAGGGTAGGCTTTCTAGCTTGGATGCAACTATTGAATCGTTCTAATATTTTTCCGAGATCTGATGATGCAAAGAATAATTCTTGTCCAAAGACTTCCTTACCAATAAAATCAGTTAAGATATTTTTTCCTGAACGAGGAGGGGAACGTAATACTAAAACAGTTCCAGGTTTTTTTTTCAGGATATTGTACAAGATAAGCCAACCAGTTAATAACATACTCAGAGAGATTTTTATCCCCATTACACCAAACATTTTCTATATGCCAAGTAATCGGATCAATAAGAGCAGAATTAATTTCAGTTGATGGTCGAACTTTGAATCCTAGAAAAAGATTAAAGAATTTGGTATTCAACGGAGAGGTGTTTGGAGAATACGGTAGAAAATCAATATTACTATAAAGAATCAGACCTTTTGAAACTGCCCGATTTATTAATGTTTTTAACTGTACTGGCTCTCCTCCATGTTCGGTTATACTAATTTCGTAATTTGCAAGATCTAGTTTGGACGCCATATCGAAATAAAGACCATTATTTGAATCTTCCATTTTAAATAGCCACAGTCTTGAAGTTGTTTGAACACATGCAACTGTCGCTTGAATTGCTTCATATACCTCTTTGCGTGTATATCTTTGTTAGGATATACACATATCTAGCAAGTTTCCCCATACAAAATGATCGTTCGGATCAGAAATTCTGGATTTTTCTAGTTTGGGGGATTGAAAATTTGTTTTCTCGATCCTTGGCTGATTCATTAATAGTAAGTTTTATCGAAGGTTTTCTTGTTCCAGGATCCCTCTTATCATTTGCACGATAACAATAAAAACTATACGATTTCTTATTTCGAATAACGTATGCATTATCGTTCTCATGTATGTGATCATTTTGGTCTTTATCCTCCCGTTTACATAATGGACAATTCGAAGGTGTTATACGTTTAAGATAAAGATAAAAGGCGTTTGGATAATTTTCTGTAGGATACGATACCTCATATCCTGAAATATTAGCATGTTCCAGTAACTCCTTTACTAATTCGAGCTCAGTCTCGCTACTTTCTATACTATTATTACATATTCTAATTAACTCTGAGACGGATATGGAGGAATTTTCTATATTTAATCCTGGAATGGATAGTGGAGAATTGTTTACATCCGACTTTAAAGTATATAAAATAGGACTATCTATAACTGGTGCCTCATCATTAGGTGGGCGAAGCATAAAATTAAAGACAGAACTATCTTTTGGAAAAACTGCTTTCTTCACCCGGACATGTTTATTAGTATTTTTAATAATTTTTGGAGTTCCAAGTGCTCATTGTAATTGTAGGGCAAATAATGTTCTACCAGAAGATGTCCCTGTAAAAGAGCGAATAGCATTTGTAGCCCAAACTGTCACCCTATTGTATTAATCGTTGATAACAACATAGTAATAGTCAAAAGCATTTTGTTATAAAAAACAAATAGTTTATAAAAACTAAAGACCTGTATGTTATATGTGTGTTACTGTGATAAAATTGTTTTTGTAATTGTCCTATCTTGAAATGGGCTAATTCTCAGAATGGGCCGTAACATCTGTATTAATTTATAAAACTTAGTTATACAAAAAATCGCAGCTTGAAAATTCCTGAAGTTGACGATGCATCTACATACAATACGCGAACTTGGAATTCGATGATACGCGACCGACAAGACGCCTGTCAAATGTAACAACAACCTCGGTCATAAATTCTATTAATTATTATGTTCTTAGAGAAAGTCTGTTACTATTCCTCATTGTGCCTGAATACATTATTGTTGTAAGGCAGGAGCGTAGTAAACGAGGACTCTTAAATTGTACAATGTTATGCCAACATTATTGATTGGTTCAAAGCAGCGCGAGTTTTTTCATCGGCTCGTAATACAATTGATAAATTACTCGAGGGTTTTTCCAATCTATGATTGAGAGAGCGCGCATAATTGTTATTGTCAAGCAATTTACTATGCCAGGTGATAATTCCGTATTGTTATCAATATCCCAGCCTATAAACAAATACTGTTAACTCGGAGAAAACAAACACTCGAGACTTCTAAAACGGTTAAAAAATATTGAATTTACGACTGAAAAGGATCCAAGATATAATTCGACATATATAGTACTTTATTCACAAAATTATTAAAAACAAATTTGCATCTGCATGGTCATTTTTTTGTTGCGTATTTCGCGTACGATTCATATTGGTCACTTGTGGAGTAACATCAAAGACAAGGAAATTTACGGTGACATTTAGAGGGAACAGAAGGTTAGACGTGGGTTAGACGTGGGTTAGACGGGTGTTTTTAGCCATCGATTTACAACCTTTCGCAAGAAACTTTGACAAAGGTTCGCAACAATAATTTGAGAGTACAGTATTGAAACCCTTGATATTGCACAAGCAAGCATGTATCTTGAATGAGTCAATTGAGATACTTTTCTCAATAACTGTTTCATGACGTTGTTTTATTGAATCCCGACTCGGATGCCATTCCATTTTTTTAGACATAATTAACAAGTTATTATGCAGAAGAAGCTGGCTGCTAGGGTTGTGGTGAGCAGCACTGATTTAATAACATGTCATCTACTTCAACAGAAAATTTACCCGCATCGACATACTCCGTCCTCGTAAACCATCGCAGCTTCTCACGTCGTCGTACTCTGATATTCTACTCTCCTATCCTTTGAAATGATTTGACGTTAGTACTTTTTTCGACAGGGTATTGCCATCCATTTATAGCTTTGAATCTCAGCAGCTAATACATAGGTCTACATGTATTGAATTGTTTTCAGAGTACTATAGAACATCATCGAGATGTGATAAACCATAACATCTATGCATTGTACTTACATACGTTGATCGACTATTAGACACTCGCGTGATAAGAGCGAGCATTTTAGCGCAGGCTGCAAGGTATCTGTCATCAGAAATAAGAGTCCATGGCTGGCTAAGGGTTTGGCTTATACTTTGATCCTGCGAAACCGTAATATGGTACAATCAACAACAACCAAGCCCCACTAAGCAAAAATTTTCCTTCAGAACAGAAAATTTAGCCTGCTTCAAGAAAGTGGTTTGACGTTTACAAATTCGGTTAACAAGGCAATGGTGTTATGATCATCATCATTTTTGCGTGTTGTCTCCATCAGTAGAGCATCAGTTATGCGGCTCTTCAATCGATTTGTGTATGTTCAAAGAATTGCCCCATGCACCGCCACGCGCAATATTAATATGGCTTAGTTCACAAGATAGTTACACAAAATTCCAATATGAAGGCGTGTGGCAATTGTAGAAGTAAATCTTTTCAAAGAACGCGATGAGGCTATGCCAAGAATAATGGAGCATTACTTGCTGGTAATTCATTGATACGCAAAGTTACCGTTCCTTTGCATTTGCTCATAATCATGTCTACACCAGGACAAAAAGTTCCGAACCCGCAAGTAGCGGTCAACATACAAAAGACAAGTTCTGGCTTGTTAGATAAAGTATCCACCCTCCAACGACGTGTTACCAGCGATTCGGTTAAATCGGCTTTAGGAATACTGCAAGAAATTGGAATAAAAGATGATATCGAGGATTTCATACACGAAGTCGACCCAGACACTCCCGCCGAACGAGATGCAGAAGCGCGAGAAATCACACTTCGAATATTCAAGTTGGACAGATTGTTGACCTTTCTGCTATACTATACTTCGCTAGCATTGAATTGCTTGACTTTGCTGGGTCCCTCAAAGTCATTCGGGGATTTCATGTACAACGTATTCATTAAATCGTTTGACGTCACAGAATGGGATTTTCTAAAGTTTACGACCGTTGGAAAAATAAGCGGAGCTACGTGTACTTTACAGGTTGGATTCTTTATTATTGCCAATATTTTAGTCTGGGTGTACATCCGACTCCATCCCCGAGGCGAAGATGCACTATACAAGGGATTCAAAGGACCAACATACTTTGGCGGTCCATTGCAGATAATCCATCTGTTTGGCCCTTCGTTGAAATCCTATTACAGGGCAATCAGAAAAGTCGATGCACAGTTTGTCGACATTATCAATTTTATAAGCCAAACGCTAATCGTCATTGTGACGGCGTTATCGACACACAGTAAATACGAAATACTCGACTCTGAAGAAGGTCCGGATTCAAGCGACTATTTCTTTCGTCGTCAATTTCCAGTCGACAATTCGACCATAGAGTCGCCGACAGAAGCTGAATTACAGAATCAAGCGGTGATTGCTCAGTCTACCCTGGTTATATCTTCAGTGGCGATAATTATGCTTGCATTGCTGAATATGCTTTCATGGCTCAGCAATATTTGGACCGTTAACCAGGACGAGGTTATTGTGTATGCGCTATTTAAGCTGATTACGAGGATCCTAGTCTGTTATCCGTGCTGTAGGGATAAATTTGTTAATGATGGTCGGGACGTAAAGGACATAGAGAAAGAAAAACTGATGGAGAAGGGGAAGAGTGTGATGAGGGAAAATATTTAGCAAAGAACATACTGATATCAACAAGTGAATATTCATTTCATGTACACACATATTCTTGCATGTTTTGAATTCTGTAATTTATTGTGAATAAAAGTTGTCAAAATTTTCTGTATCTATTCTAGGACATCCCGCGCTGATTCCGAGATGAAAGCATGTCTGCAGCTTGTGCCTAAGGTTCAATCGAGATACACAATTTATTTGAGACTTTAATAACAGCAATACCATTCAGTAACGAGAGCTACGCCTATGCGTGCCCAACGATACTCTATCTGCATCAAATATATTTCTTGCATTGCAACAATAGAGCGAAAACTTTGAATTGTTAGCTTATTAATCTGCACAGACTCTTCGAACATTCCGGAATAGCTTCCAAATCTCTCACTGTATAATGTTACTAATTTGGCGCGTCGGACGTTGTCCATCATATTCTTTGTTGTAAAACGCCTTAGCCTCTTATGATAATGTACGTCGTTCAAATTGTGGCGAATATCTTTCCGAAAGACCTTCCGGCTTTATTTATGTACCAATAGACTTGGAACCAACCACACGATTAAAGTAGGCATTATTTATAAATCGCCATTTGCGCACCGACAGATAAATGTTTATATTATCATTTTTATAATGTATACAGTTTAATTTGTTTCCAAGTTGCGTGATTAGTTTTAAGTGATGGTTCATTAGGAGAATTTCCATAATAATAATAATAATAATAATAATAAATCTTCCAAACCAGCTGTAAATTGAATTCTTTGAATAGTAAACTTACGATCACATATATGTATTAATAGATTCATATGATAATAGTCGAAAAAGACTATCTAAATAACAATTACTGTAGAGAGTGGAGTTTGACCACTAGTAAATTTATCGTCACATTGTAAATATTAGATTGTTACAACTCTCAACCACGACTGTTCACTGAATATCTGTTATCTTTCAGCAAGCCTTGACATAAATATTTTCTGCTCGTTCTAAAGAATATAAAAGGAATGCAGATTTTGTGTGATTGGTTCTTTGCTTGTGTTAACTCGTATATAGAAGACTTGAATGTAGCACCAAATTGTGTGCAACTTTCTGCCTCCTGCTAAATAAGGGGTGAAAAGGGTCGTAACACCGGTGGGTTTTTTCCAATTTTGTTGACACCCAAATGTCACAAACGCGAAGGTTCTTCAATAATCCAATTAAAAGTTTCAAGTATATTAATAAACAGTAGTATAGAAAAGTGAATTTAAATGTAGCGTTTGTTATGTGATGATTCGATCGTCGATAAATTAAACACATTTCTATTTCACTATTACTGATTTTTTCACTTCCTTTTTCTTTGTAGTATCTTTTTACTAGATGTCATCCCAAGAACCATATAGCTCAAGTATTTCCGTAATACAACAATCCCCTTCCACATCTCCTGTTTATTCTCAACTTTCATCTTCCCTCTCTTCGCTTATACAACCTCACTCGCGAACCTCTAGTCTACCTGTTCCGCCATCACCTCAACAAATCGAACAACTAACATTACCTTCAAATGCGTTGGCATTTTCAAAGAAACCATCTCGATACAGCTCGCTCTCATATACCAACTCTACGGAATACTCGTCTGACCGCAAAAATTCAGTTGGCTCTTTGCAATGTACATGTTTAGAAAAAGTCCATCCGCATCATTCTTGCCCTAACTCAAATCAGTATGACTATTGGCCACCACCGCCCGAATACTCGAGTGAGAATAAAGGCCGTGTTCATAATGAAGATAGCGACAGAGCTGAGACTGTTTTGAGCTTGAATGATGATGAACAAGTTGAAAGAAAAATGGATGAATACGAAAAGATGGAAGCGCAAATTCGAATGGGTAAGTTCTGACTTTGGTTATGATCTCCCACATGCAAGCCTGTATTACACTAAATTCACATAATGTTATCCACTTCACTTCCGCGTGCAAAAATGCCGTCGTTTCTCAGCTTTTGTAAGAAAAGTATATTCTCTTCTCTGTTCACAGCTGGCTGTGACAACTGCAATGTGTGCTTTATTCATGATCCATGATGCTACTAGACAGTTTGTCGTACGCAGGTAAAGCATTCTTCATAAATATCCAAGTAATTCCCATTGTAATTTTGTTTCCGATGACTCGATCATCTCATGATTGCGATAGTAATTTGATCTAACTCGAGAAAAAATATATTTATCTTGCTCAGTAATTGCCTTTTCTTTGTTTCATGGTTTATTGCATTTGTCACACTTCTTCTTTTGCTCTGGAAACGAAAGAGTCATCCATTGAACCTGTTGCTGCATATTATATTTACATTAGCGATATCCTATGGTATTGCCACGATAGGTAAATTGGGTTGATTTATTATATAAGCAACCGTTTTTTGATACGGCTAAATGGCCCACTAACATGTTTACCTCCCCCCTCCAACCAGTTGCTACATATGAAGCAAAAATAGTCGTTCAGACCTTTCTCATAACAATCGGCGTGTTTGCTGCTCTTGTATTATTCACTCTACAATCACGAATCAACTTTTCATCTTGGGCGCCGTTTTTGTATGCTGGGTTGTGGGTCGTTATACTTTCTGGGATTATTGGATGGCTGCTTCCATTTGATCGCGCATACCATGTCGCCATTTCCGTGCTGACTGCATGTATATTTTGCGGATATATCCTTTATGATACGTACATGTTATTCACCAAGCTGAGTCCTGAAGGTTAGCGTTTGCATCATTCTTGAGTGCGTGTGATTTTTCCTACTTTTACTAAAGCTGATTTTTCGCATTTAGAATACATTATCGCAGCAATCGATTTGTATCTCGATGTAATAAACCTTTTCATCGCATTACTCGTTCTCCTCGGTGGTATGGATACAAAATGAAAGAGCAATACGTACTTGTTAAAAGCACGGTCTTACATGCGGACGAGAAGTATGTATAAACGACTGCCGTGTATTGCGAGATATACGATCGGGAATATCTTACTATTTTCTTCGTCGATAAGAACTCCGTTCTTTCTTTTTGCGCTAAACATGTAATGGAAAAAGAATGAGAAATTAGGGATGACATACTATAGTTTCTCACAGAGTTGTGGTTTTAAGCTTAATAAACAAGAGAACTTTTGTAATACGCTCTTTTTGATCCGTATAACGTTCGTGTCGCGAATTTGTCAAATGAATTTGTCAAACAATGAAATGTGAATTAACAGTGACTCTAAACTCAATGACAGACTTGACGCAAATAGTAAACTGGTTTCACAAGAAATTGTCATTTAAAATCAAAATACGCTTAAAATAAGACTGTCTATACTACACAGTGAACCTGGATATAACAAACCCCGGATATAACGAATTTGGCTTATAACGAAGCTCTTTTGCTGCACGGAAAATTGTAATAGTAAATTGTTTGGATATAACGAAGTTAAATCCCTTGATATTGGATATATCGAAGGAAACCCCCACACCATCATATTTAAAATTCCCTCGATAAACCAAAGTTTGTGCAACAAATAGTTATGTATTGTATGAAGGCTATCATCATTATATGCTTCTTGTACAACTTTTATTATATATAAGTCAAGTAATTAATAAAGTCTTCGCTGAATTGCGGTTGTATTTTCGATCTAATTCTGAATGGAGTTGTCAAGTGCTCAATTCACGAAACTGAAATTGAGATCGTTTAATCTCATCCAGCAATTGCCGATAGATGCTCCAATACGCGTAGAAAACTATATAATGTTGACAAAGCTATTGACTTAAACGATAGTGTTGATGATGCCACTTTAATGCAACAAATAGTCAATCGGAACGGATTGTTGCTGGTTCAGAGGCTTTAGTTGGAATTGGTAGTTATCTGTTGTTAGATTTTGACTAAATTGAAAAGAACAATATTCACAAAGCAGTTTAGAATTGGCGCGTCAAACAACACTTGATGAATTTGAATTTGTAAATCTTGAATTACGTTTACAATAAAGATATATCAATGTGTATTACCATGATAAGATATATATTTACATATGTGAAGAAAAGTGTCCCTCGCTATATCCGGGTTCACTGTGGTACCATCTCGACTATTTAGTTTCCGCATTTCTCCAGCCTCTTACGGATTAGACAATCATTCCCAATAAATTCTCACCACGTTCATCGTCGCAAGACAAACGTTGACTCACAATCTATTCCTACAACATCATTTCATCTTTTGGTTACGTCGATTCCTATTTTCAACATGATTATTTAGGAAATTGTTTAGCCTGTGACTCTTTGGTCGGCCTCACTAGCTTTTCGTCTTTACCATATTTGGTAATACAAAATTTTCGGTTACCAAAATAGTCAGGGCGATGAACCATATATAGAAAATTAGCCGTTTTAGGACTACTTGTGTAATCAATATACAGTAAAACCTCCATAAATGCAACGCCTTGGGACCGAGTGCTACGTTGCATTTATGGAGGTTTTGCATTTATGGAGGTTTCCTTATTTGG